CAATGCATCAACTGTGACTTTCAGTTTATGTTTATTTAAAGTATAAAAATTTAAACATTGTACATAACCAGAGTGCAGACTCCTTACATATTTATATGATTATTCTCATCTATTACAATGGCCTCATCTATACCTAAGTAGCTAGTCAGTTTGAGAGTGACTCATCACCATAGGGTCTTTTAGATTACTAAATTTTGTTTTCTTAGGGACTGTATTTTACAGTCAGTTTTCACATAACTTATTTTCACATAACTTATTAAAATATGTAAATTAAAATATGTAAAATTAAAATATGTAAATTAAAGTTATAAGCTCGCATAGGAAAAGAACATTGAGAACAAAAAGAGGTGAAATTACTGAAAAGCAAATATCTTAGTTTTTGTGATTAGAATGGAAAAAAGTAGAGTGTAGTCTACAGGTTGTTGGAGGGATTGGAGAGCACCAGGTAACCCTATGGGTTAGCTCTTAAAAGGATTAAAAAAGAATTTTAGTTTTAACTTAAAAATGATATTAATGTTATTAAAATAATATAGCATTTTACATCGAACAAAATTTAAATTCAAATATACACGAATTCTTTAAATGACTATAGAGCGAATCAAAATATGTTTGTTTTCTTTCCAATTAAATTGTATGGTACACGATATGTCACCTTTTACTTCACGTTTGAATTTCACAGTAAATAATAAAGAATCATTTTAGAAAAGTATTTAAAGGGTAATGAAGTTTTCCACAGGCTTTCTTCTACACTGTCTATTAAAAGATATTTCATTTGGAGCATCTGAATTTTTTTCTTCTTCAGTCCTTAACTGATCTTTTTGCTGGATCTTTATTTGTAATTAGCACTGGATGTGACTCAGATAGTTCTGACATCACTAATTGAATTTTGTGTAATACCGCATCTTTAACAGTATTTGCTATCTACTATGCAGTTGGATTGCATCATCTAATAATCACTCAGAACCTGATTAATGAATGGGCCTGGGCCTTTATGTTAGAAACAGAGGAGGGTTTGGGTACTAATTTTGTAAGTAAGCAGTTCATTAGCAAATATTTTCATGCAATGATGACTTTTTCTTCCCTACTTATCTCAGTGAATGTGCTGTTTCATAAAATAAATGCTTAGTTAATAAGGACACCTCGTATATCTTAGAAATGGTAAATAGCAAACATATTTCAGTCTTTTAAAAATTTAAGTAGAGAATGTCATCTGAAGAATAGTCAGAAAAAGTAGACTTGGGAATCCTGATTTGGCTGCTTACCATATGAGTAATTTTGAAGAAGTTACTTCTCTATCCCTCATTTTCCCTTAGTTTAAGGGGAAGGGGTCAGCTTAGATGGCTTTATAATATTTTCTTGCTTTAACATAACTAAATATCTAAAATATTTGTGCAGCTATTATCTTTATGTTCTCTTAGTATTTAAATGCGTGCAGTAGATTTTATTGCACAAAGTCACAAAAGTAAGAAAATGAAGGTAGTTTTAAACATCAGTTTCACTACATGTATTTTGTGGTTGTGGTAGGCTGAGCAGGTCAAATCCTTTACAACAAACTCAGTGGGGGATCCACTATGTTTTCAGAAAGAAGTTTTATCAAACATGTTGTTAGTCCATTTCTACTTTCAAAGGCAGGGGATGAAACCAGCCTTGTTTAACTATTTTGTCTTTCTGAGTCAAATAGAAAAGAGGCACAAGCTGAACACAGTAGGCCGAAGGAAAATATATATAAAGGTGTTAGGTTTGTACCTTCAGACATATATTTTTCTCCAAATTTTGGGGTCTTTCTGTTTTCCTTGTTACATGTATCTTGGGTTGTTGAGTGTTAGAATTTTGTATTGTTGGCTTTAGTTTTATTGTCATTTATTCTCATTTCTTACGGAGAGTAAAGAAATAATTTCTGCCCGCTGGCCATCTGGGATTCTGTTTTCAGACTTTCTGACTCAGTAGCTTTTCCCAAAGTCTGTGTACTTGAGACAAAGAACTCAGCTCTGTGTGCCTCTTCCTACTCCCCACCTGCTGTTTACAGCATTCACATGTAGATATATCAGTACCATTATACTCCACCAAAGTTCAGAGGTTGGAATGGAAGATTGTCCTTTCCCATTACTTCTAGCTTTCTAGATTGTAAACATTACCTCTTCTCTTTCCTCGACTTAGAATTTCAGACAGTAGGAGTAAAAGTGATGTGATACCCTGGAAAACACCAGAACCTTCTCTGTATATGCAAAGCCTGGACAACACATTTTGAGAAATTATCTTTCAGGCAATCAGAGAACAGTCTATAACACATGAACTAATAAAATTTATGTTTAACCCTCACATTTAAAATTTTTTTTAATTATTGGGGAGACAGCAGTTAATAAATTTATGTTAAGTAGCAACTGTTTGCAGTGATATACATTGAACAAAATACTTTTTGTATTTATTTGTTTTAGACTTTTTTATTGTAACTAGATTGAATGTTTCTAAAACACTTCTGTTATAATGATGGTTTAGATATATTTTATCATTCTAAAAGTAATATAATTATATTTATATTTTTGCAGAACATTATGCAGTCATGATATAACAGGCTACTTTTAATAGAATTCTTGTCTGAGGAATATATTGTATATGGGTAACAAATATAAATAAGGTTAAGATTTACTGTAGCCTTTGCTAACCATTACTAAATGTTATGTATGTCAAATCTACAATATGTGAAAACTCAGGAATTACTATATAGGAATTCATTGTCATTCTGTTGCTTATATCTGAAATAATGGTAAATACTCTTTTTAAAGTCTTTCGGTGACATGACTTTAACAATATTCTCACTATTTCTTAAAAGAAAAAATTTCGATGATACCAGGTTAGAATTATAACATTTAATCATTTTAGTATATTAAAATATAACAATAGTTTATATTTATAATCTAATAGACTTATTTCCATATGGGAAACAATTTTGCTATATGTTAAATAAATTTGGAATAACATTTATGATTTGAAAATAATGTAAAATGTCCGGTTGCTCTTGAGGCTTAAGGGGACCATATTTAGGGACAGAAATTTAGGATTTTTGTTCACAACAGTGCAGTGGGCCTATTGTGGCTTTGTAGGTCACAAAATAAGAAGATGACACCCGACCAGGCAATGTGTCATATTGCTAGAATCATTGCTATGATTTCGATTGGCCCAGTAATTGAGGAGGTTTGGACCCTGCAGCCAGAGAAGATTATAGCTTTGGGAAAGTGGAAGTGCATATGAGGGCTAAATTCATGGTTTATATATTATTTTGTATGTATTAACCATTACATAATAAAATAATGTAATAAACCCTTTTTGCTAAATTAATAGGTACTAACTGGTATTATTATCTTAATTTTACTTCTTGATTATTACTGGTTGTAAACATTTTTTCATATTTTAATCTGAATGCTATTTGTGAATTGCTATTGATGCTTTGTCCATTTTTCAACCTGTACAGTTGTCTTTTTATTTTGATTCACAAAAATTATTAATAATTATACTAACCTTATACATTTTGTTGGTAGAAAAATGTGTTTTTTAAGTTTATCTCCATTTTGTTTTTTAATCTTTAAAATTTCTAATGGTTTATTTTTTTATAATTATAAAGTAAATATAACTGCAAAAAAAATCCAAAAACTAAAAAGAAAAAACCCTAAAGTGTAAATAAATATTATTTTAACTCTTTTTTTAAATTAAGTGTCCTTAATATTTTGGTGCATATATATCTATATATAATATAGATAGATATTCACACACATGATTTTATTAAAAGAATATTTTTCTGCCTTATAGATTACATTTTTTCCTCCAATAGGTACAATTTTACACCATTTAAAAATATTTGAATAGTATTTCACTGTATACATATACTAATTATTCAATGAATATTTATTGAGCCCCTTAATAATGCTGTATAGCAGCATCATTTTATAGGTATTGGGAACAAAGCAACATGCCAAACTCTTGCAAAGGTGGAGTTTGAATGCTGTTGGAGAAAACATACAGTAAACTGATAAATATTTCATATAATATAAGGTAATCATAAGTACTAGGTTGAAAAAAAAGTAAGCAAGGAAGAGGGTAGAGAGTACTGGATCCACAGGAGGCAATAGGTGCTCCAGAAAGTCCTCATAAATGATCAGGAGCCCACCTGAAGTTTGGGAGTGCACCCTGCCAGTACTAGGGTAGTATCATTTGAGGCAAGAGAAAGATCAAATGCAAGTCCACAAGGTGAGCCTTTAAGCAAATAAAAGCAATTTGATATTGGTTAACATTTAGGTTACTTCCAATTATTTAAAATTTTAAACATATTTGGAGAGACGGTTCTTGTTAGTTACTTTCTGAATTCTCGCAGGTATTCTAACTGTTCTCAATTTCTTTTTTTTTTTTTTTAGATGAGGTAACCCTTGGTTGACCTCACAGATTGCAAGGACCTTGTCAGCTTACAATCCCTTATTTTATTTTTTACGCCTATAGCACCTGGTCTTCCTAACTGGTCTCCTATCCAAGTACTAACCAGGCCTGACCTTGCTTAGCTTCCAAGATCAGATGGGATTGGGCTTGTTCAGGGTAGCATGACCGTAGACTCTTCTCAATTTTTAAACCTACTTTTTCCCTGTTGTATGTCTTCATGGCTATTTTGATAGGAAGTGTGAAAGTGTATATAAAAGAATGTTAGTTAGTCTGATGCCATCTTAGTTCATAGGCCTAATTTATATTTTTTAAAGAAAAACTAAATGTTTTAGAAAGGAATAAAGGAGTTCATAGAATATAAGAATACAGAATGTTTAATTTAGAGGGGAATTTTTATATCTAAGACAAAAAAATTGAAATGACTTGCCTTTAGTTTGTACTGCTACTTAGTGCTTTCTGTTTATGTCATTTTAGTATCACAGGACCTTTAATAAAATCATTTAAAAACTAGAACTTTGACACATAGGGTTTTGTTTTTTGTTTGTTTCTTTTTTTTTTTTTTTTATCTCCCCTAGGCTACTGATGCCAAATCTTTCTCTGGTCCTTTTAATGTCTTGCCTGTGAAGACAAAATGGAGTAACATAGGCTTTCATATCCTTCTATTTGACCTGGAAAACCTTGTTGAACTTCTGCTGCCGACTGCAATCTGTGACCCTTCCAATTCATTCAATGGCAGCGAGATCCTGAGAAGAGCCAAAAGCACAGTAGAGAAGAAAACACTGACACTGAAAAGAAATAAAACTGCCTGTGGTCCTCTCTCAGCAGACGCACACGCCAAGCCTGTTAGTGAAAGCCTAGCCCAAGGAGATAATTCGATAACATTCTTCGAAGAAAATGATGGCATTAAAAGGCAGAAGAAACTGAAGAGTTCCAAAAAGACACACCCTAAGCCATCAAGAAAATTTGATGCCAACCTCATAATCGATGCAGCTAAATTGCTCCTATCTTGCCTTTTGCCATGGGGAGTGGATAAAGAATTAGATAATCTCTGCATTAAGCATCTCAATATTTTGAAGCTTCAGGGTCCCGTTTCTTTAGGACTTGCTTCAAATGAAGACTACTTCTCATTGATGCTTCCAGGTTGGGATTTATGCAATGCTGAAATGAAAAAAGACTGTTCAAAAGTAAATTTATTTTCCAGAAAAGTTTTGGATTTGTCAAATAAATACACATCCACTCTTCCAAATCAGGCTGGGATGCCAAAAAGAGAGGAAAATGATTGTGATTCTTTGCAAGAGTCAAATACTATAGTTTATCTATTGAGAAGACTATTTTTAGTTAACAAATTAGTTAACATGCCTGTAGAATTGGAATGTGGAATTGACAGGTAAGACATGCCTAGAGATTTTGACTATTATTTGAGACTTTAAAATAAATTATTATTATTTGCTAGATTCTGCTCTCTAGCTTCCCTACTCTCAGAGAATAATAGATATGCAACAACTTCTTCCGTTCAAAATACATTTAAGAAAATCTCCCTTTTAATTTTTGAGGTTGGAAGATAATTTGAGCAATAAATCTATGTTTTAAAATTTATTCATTCAACAAATATTCATTGCTCTCATAATATGTGGCAGGAAAATCAGAGTAATGGGTGCTGAATGATTTAGTGGATGGATGGTTGGATGGATGGATGGATGGTTGGATGATGATAGATAGATGATAGAGAGATGATAGATAGATAGATAGATAGATAGATAAATAGATAGATGCATGCATGTATACATAGATTCATACACATCTTGAAATCTATTGTACTTGCTGTAAATTAAGTATGAACAAAGAAGATTTAGTGCTTGCTTAGGCAGCACATATACTAAAATTGGAATGATGCAGGGAAAATTAGCATGGCCCCTGCACCAAAGGATGACACACAAATTCGAGAATCGTTCCATTAAAAAAAAAAAAAAAAAGATTTAAAGAAAGGAAAAGTTGGATGACACACAAATTTGAGAATCATTCCATTAAAAAAAAAAAAAAAGATTTAAAGAAAGGAAAAGTTTGAAAATTTCATACCTTAAATCTCACCATTTAATTTATACTTCAGCCTATTAAAATAGAAGAAAGCATCAGTAATTGTTTTATAGAAATTACAACTTAGTAATAATAGCTATTGTTTTTTTGAGTGTTTATCTACTGGTCAACATGTAAGCCCTTAAAATATATGATTTCATTTAATATCCACAGCAAACCTGAGTTTTAAGTACTGTATTATTTTGCTCATTCTACAGATGAGGATATTGAGGTTTATAGAGGGAAGGTATCAACCCGAAGATTAATTCAGCTTCTTGGAGGCTAAGAAAGGCTAAGCACCAGTCCAACTCCAGAGCCTGATTAATTACTGACCTTAACTCTGAGTGTTTACCCTCTCTCATTGCTAAAATTCAATTAGGTTTTCATAGTCTGATATTAGAGGATTTAATTCAATTCACCAACTGCTTACTGAAGATGTTCTTAGCACTAGCCTACAGAGGAAATATAAATTTCTCATTTGGATGTGAATTCACTTAAATGATAAAGGTAATGCACATTAAATATGTAGAAAACACTGAAATAAGGTAAAGGAATGGAAAACATTTGTAGTATAGATAAATATTATAGGTGGTGAGTGCAAAGAGAATAATTAGTGTGAGATAAAACTATCAGAAAGACTTTATAGAAGAGATACTGTTTTAACTGCCCGCTACATGGTGATAAACAGTCATTGACATTTCTATTCTTTGATAAGAGCCCAATTTAACAAATATCTGTGCCAGGCAAGGTATAGTAGACAGTTCCTGCCATCAGTGAACCTACAGTTTGGTAGCAAGTCCATGTAGATCATGTAGCATTCAGTATTCCGCTTCCTGCCATTATAATGCTACTGGGTTTTCCTTTTTCTGTTCAGTGTCCCTAATAATGAGAAAACAGAAACTGGTAAATTTCTGTACTTAATTATCCTCTATTTTCTTCTGTTTAAGTATTTTTAAATTTTCAGATAGGTTTAATTTACTTTTCTTTCTATTACTAAGAAAATTACATTGCACTTAAAAAAAAAAAAAATCAGTCAGCCTGGAGCCTGTAAACCTAGGAATGAATCCAGGTTTTCTTGTTTAACTAGCCATGTAGCTTTGGATTAGTCACTTAGCCCTCTGGGCCTTCCTTTCCTCATTTACAAAATGAAGTGGGCGGGATAGGTGATCACTAAGATTTCTTCAAATTTTTAAAAACTTGGGCTGCTAACAAATTATATTTGTTTGCCTAATTGTGACCTTACAGAGCAGATGAGGGACTTAGTTATGGTTTGCCAGAGGTATTTATTCTGAGTTTGTTCCTGATTACGAAGTACTAGATAGAGAGGATATGTCTTGTGCCCTTTTGGGGAGATTATGGGTTTCAGCATGCCTTCCATTTAATGGCTTTAAAATCATTACCACACATTAGTTAATTCTTTACAAAATTCTTAATTAAAACTAATTACTCAATGGAGGTGTCAGGATTAGAGATTGCTTCTCTAAATCAGTCACTTCAGATTTGATCTGCTCTTAGAGACTGCCTGTCCTTTTTCAGAAAATCAAATTAATGTGTATTAGATTTTGTCACACTAAACCCTTCAAGCAAATTTGGCCATTTCGCTAAAATTTCACTGTTGTGAAGGTTGAAAAATCCTTGTATGCTTAACAACTGGTGTCTGATGTCACTGAATTTTCGAGAAAGAGCTAACTGCCTCTCAAAATAGCCTTGGACAGTATCTGAAAGTTGCTGATTGAGTCACTGGTTAGAATGATACCTACCTTCGATAGATCCTGACAGTACCTGGGGAGAATTCTTTGGCAGATGTCAACATATTAGAATTCAAAAATGTATTGCATTAGTCACAAATTGCATGATCTAAAGTAGCAAGGCCCCTTCTATAAAAGTGGGTCACAAGATAAGTCTGATAAACTGAGATTCACAATTCAATTGGAATTAGGTTTTAGGTAGGAGCAGTGTGGAAGAATAGGACTCATCAAAGAGATTAATGTGGAAGACTTTACTAAAAATAATCTGTGTTTACTTCCTAAATTTGTTAAAGTGGTCATGTACTCATATCTTCAATTTATTTTTCAAAACATTTTTCATACATCTCTAATAATATTCTTCAAATCTTTTTGTCAACAGTTCTTTCAAAATGGAATCTGTGCATAACAAGGTGAAAAGTCCTGGGAATGATATTTTGCATATTTCAAGCTTCTACAGTTACTTACGAAATGGTAAAGAAGTTACAGATATATTCTGAAATTTTTATAGAATAACTACTTCTATAACTGGATAACACTCTACAGTTTACAATGAGCAGTGTGTATTTATCATTTGACTTAGTCTGCATTTCACATGGTTATAGTTTTGTATTCTGCCAATACTAAAATATATATGAAAATTTTTATTTAAATAAATAACATCTCATAAGGCATGTACTGTGATGGATTTCGTCAAATGATCTTTGAAATGCCTGAAAGTCTGAAATTTTCTGAAAGTCTGAAATATTTGGATATTAAATTGAAATCATATGTGATTTATGAGGAAGTTTATTATATCAATGTCTTTATTACCAAATAAGTGATTATTATTATATTAGAGAATTTTATAGCTATTTCAGAAGGTTATATAATTATCCCTGAAATCTTCTGAGTGGCAAGTCTTGTTGCTTAGATTTTCTTTTGATGCCAAATGGCTAATTCATCTCTAAAACCTCTCCAAATCTTCGACATCTCAGTAGATGACAGTCCCATCCTTCCAGGTGTTAAGGCCAAGAAGCTTGGTGACTTTTTGACTTTCCCTTTTCTCTCATACCCCATGTTCAATCTTTTAGTAATGATACTCAGCCTTCAGAGTTTATCTTGTATTTTGACTGCTTCTCGCCACTACAGGACCACCCTTCTTGAGCCTTAATCACCTCTTGCCTGGATGACTACAGAAGCCTCTTATCCATTCCTATGTTCCTGTTTTTGGTTCCTACACTCAGTGGTTTCTGTGCCACTCTAAATAAAAGCCTCAGTGTTTAGGATCGCTTGCAAGTCCCTGTATTACCTGGCTGTTCTACCTATGTCATTGCACACACACACACCCATCTGATCTCATTTCTTTGCACTCATCCCCTGCTTCCCACAGTCCAGCTACATTGGCCTTTTTACTCTTATCCAAACATGACAAGAAAGTCTTAGGGCCTTTGCACTGGCTGTTTTCTATGCCTGGAATTGTCTTTCCCCAGATTTCACAGAGGTCATCCTGCTGCCCCCCACCTCTACCCTGCATTCTTCAATTCTTGCTCAAATGCCATTTCATCAATAAAGGTGTCCTCCCTTCTCCCAGCACACCTTACCCCTCTTCCCATTTTACTTTTTTCACAATCTTTTTCACTATCCAACATACTGTATATAATGTTTTCGTTTGCCATCTACCATCTAGTAAAATGTAAGCTCCATGTTTTTTTTTAAAATGCAGTTTTATGCACTGCTATGTCCCCAGTTCCTAGAACAATGCCTGCAAGAAAATAAACAAATACTTTTGGATTAATGGATGAATAGTAAATAGAACAGTGGTTTTTGAGATAGCCGAGGTTTAAGACCCAGTTCTGCCATTTACTACTTATTTAACTTTGGGCATGTCTTTTATTCCTTTAAAAGTGGTATTTTACTACATTCGTAAGTGGGAATAAGATTTCAGACTCGATGTGCATGTTACCTCCAAAGTTGTGTAGTTATGATCGATGCACTGGGATAACTTGAACAGCAGTACCTAGGGATCCTCTCAGGGCTGTTTTAAAGTGTGAGTTTATTAATAGCTTCCAATTACTACTGAGTACCTAGTATGTTCAAAGAATTATGCTAATTATTTTACATGTATTATCTGAATTAATAACCCTGCACAGCAGGACGAACTATCTCTGTTTTACTCAGAAAAGTTGGGGCTCATGGAATTTAGCTAACTTACTCATAGTTACAAGCAGAGGGACCAGGATTCCAGTCCAACTCTGTCTAATTACAAACCCCTTGCTTCTTCCATTGTGTCAGGCCAGTTCCGACATTTATGATGACAAGTAGTATTCTCCCTATCTGGCCCCAGGCTAGGTTGCCTGCCTTCTCCTTCAGTAGTAGTCCTTATTAGGGTATTTATCCTCATTTTCATTTTTCATAACAGTAGGAAAGGGATTAGTTTCTACAGAGACTGAAAGAGTTGCTAACTAGAGCCAAGGAGGCTCCGGCTTTTCCTATGGTTGCCCCAACCAAAACAGCCTGAGCAACTAGCCTTATTACTGACTAAACTCCCTGATGTTATTTTGGCATTTTTAGCATTTAAAATCCAATTAGGTAGTAAAATGATGTGGTTTTGTATTTTAATAATTGGAAGATGAGAGGTAAAAGGAAAGAAGGGATTCACTTCATGCTATTAATTTTATAAAGTCAAAGCTCGAAGAATAAAATAATGCTCTGAGGTGCTCATTCTAAAAGGTTGACAGAAACCAATAACCACTTTTGTCA